GAAAGAAGTGATCTAACGAGAGAAGCACGTTAGAGCGCTTTAACTGGAGATTGCTGTTCTCTCTCATGCATACATTTTTGCTTATTTCCCAAGAAAATTAAATTTTATATGAATTAAAGTGAACCATTAACTATGCGTCATACGTTATTGGAATACATTTTTCTTTAGTTTTGCATTGAAAGTTATTTCTTTCCTTTGAACGCATGGTCCATGGGAAAGGAACGCAAAATTTTCCAGAAGAGTAGATTTGGTCATGGAGTGCGTATGCGAATTTTGAGTGTGACGAGAAACGTGAGTTTGTTTTTTATAAACCTCCTCCTCTTCCCCACCTATCTTACGAAATCGAAAGCGCAAATTATAAATTTAAAAAGGGGTTAAAAACAAAAAGACCCTTTCCTTTACCTCATGTTAGGCCAAATCATCATCAATTCGTTTCTACGATTTGTCATGAGGGTAAACAGAGAACTATATCTTGGGGAAATCCTCCACAAAGAGATGAATTGAAAATCCAGAAGTTTCGTAGCAGAGGATCATCGGATTTTTTAAATCAAAATACATAAATAGCCGACCAGAACGGAAGAAAGCCATACATTGTCTTGAGCTGCATATTGTATTGCTGGGATCATTCATTCATGCAATGCATAAAAAGTGCGTAATATTGAAGTTTGACAGATTAAGTTAACACCCTAACCTAACTACGGCATTTCACGCTTATTTGTTATAACGTGTCTCAACTAACGGCAAATGTATGCATTTGCAAAAAAAAAAAACAAACACATTTGGCCAACGACACAGTTATTTATTTTTAATGTTTTATCACAACTAAAATAAAAAAAAAAAAAAAACTAGACAAAAAAAGAAGAAAAAAAAACAGACAAAAACAAAAACCAAACAATAAAGAAATTTAGGCCTTTTAATTGGGTTCGAACATTGTAAACAACAGTATGTATGCATGTCTACATCGTACCCACCTAATAATAAACAAATGCACAACAATACGTACATACATACATACATACATACATACATATGCATGCCACCAACCAGCCATACCCTGTGAGTGCACATTTAAACGTCAATGACACACGGTTGTGCATTTTTAAAACCATTCAAACACGAACGCACACACTTGCATTGAAACAATCACACAACACGGTAAAAACAATCTATACTACAATTGCAAACATATGCAATAATAATATAGCACAAGCCATCAGAAATTGATTAAAAACGAGAACAAGGTTAATATTTTAGAATAGATAGGCAACAAAAATACAATAACAAGTCGAAACATATGCACACATTCATATTCATATATTTATATATAAACAATCAATTTCATAAAAATTATATACAAAACGTAAAAATATATTCATTAATAAAAAAACAAAAAAAATTAAATAACAACAGTAACAACAAACATCAAATATTAAAGCACATGCATTCATTCATGTGCGATATTTAACTGTCAAAACAATATTATTTTTAAAAGGTTCACTGACTCGACGCAGATATGATCGAATAATAATGAAATAATTAACTGCATCTGAAAAATAATATAAATTAATTTTCCGTCATTATCTGAATCAGATGAGCACGCATTCAATCGCAATATTTTAATATTTTAACACTTGAATATAAAAATAAGATCTATCTATATACAGGCTAGCAATAAAAGGAGACAAAGCCTCACATTATTGTTGCATATTAAAATGAATTGAAAAGTTCCTAGAACGAAACTGATAAAACATATTTATATATGTAAGTGATATGAATAAAAAACTTATATTCAACATACATAAAATCTCTGATACCCCTAGTCTCTTCACATCAATATACGAAAACTGCAGTATTTTTCCGTTCCTGTAAGCATATCATTATTACGCTGAACATCCATTTCGTTCTGGGGAAAAATTATGCGCCAAAGCTTACATCACTATTATCCTCTAAAGGCCATTTTCCTTAAATCAATTAAGAATTGAAAGTTTATTAAAAGGCAGACTTTTTTTTTTGTTAACCAACACTTTTAACTGTCAAGCGTGAACATTGCACCCATAGTGTAAGTTAATTAACCGGAAACCTTAAGGCATCTCTTCCCACTTTGACAATGGGTATAAATATGAATCTTTTACCGTAGCATAGTATATTCCCACACATTCTATTCGGCCGACTACGAATATATTTGATTCTTGAATTCGTTTTACAGAAGGTTTATCTTTTACGATAAAACAAAAAGTCATATATTAGCGTTAATACCTCAGTACCTCGTCAGCAACTTCGAGACGTTTCCCCATATTTCGTACTGTTAATTAGATATTGCGTATACCTATTTTCTAGAAAGTAAATGAAACACTTAATGCGTTTATGTGCGCTGAATAATGCGTGCCATCAATACTACTGTTGAAGCAAAATGCGAACATAGCGCATTCTCAGATGTGCAAAAGATCCAGAAAAATGATTCGTTAGTAAAAAAAAGGCGCTGCTACGCATTTCGCTTGATTAGAAGACACTTTCACATCTACTCCTACGCTTTCAAAATATTCAAAAATCAATTGTTCTCTTATCGAAGGAATGCATCCAATCGACCAAAATGGGAAAGATTGCGGCAAGCGGGCGACTGTTTTTTTGAATACTATGCGCCTTCATGCAGGATTGTTGTAGTGCAACAAATATTTCTCAGATAAATGTTCGCTAACTGAAACGCAATATGTCAGCCAGTACATTATCTAACTCTTTCCACAAATCAATATTCTATATATATTAAAAATATATACATAAAAATTATAAAAAAAAAACACAAATGAATAAAACAAATGCTTGGATTGTGTATCAACTTATTTCAATGCGTACAACATATGATATATAATTTGCGTATTAAGAAATCAACTGATCTGAGATAACCATTCGATGTGAGTATAAGTTTTTTTTTTTCTTTCTACAGAATAAAAATATATAAAAGAAAAATTTTTAATACATTTTTGTTTTTGTCAGCCGCACTTTATCATAAACTGAAATTCGAAAGCATCGAAAGCATTAGAATCACTTTTTTCCCGTTCTTCGTTGTCTTCTTTTAGATTCCATTAATATCAACCCAAGTCGTCATGTACGGTTTCATTTGTTGTAAATAAAAGCATAAAAATTTATATATGCGCACAAAATGGTCTTCTCATTATTTGGATCAGAGATTGTCAAATACCGTATCGTGACAGATTAGCACAAACATTTTCATTTTTTCGTCAAGTCTCTTAAGCATATTTTCAAAAATTCTTAATGACCACAATTTATTAAAAACAATGCAGTAACGTTTTATCTAAAAATAGTAAAGTGACTTTAGTAGCAAACACAAACCAAAGAAAAACTTTATAATTTTTTATCTTTCTACCAGATTATGATGCGCTTTAGTCGCAAAAGTATTTCCGGCTGCCACGGCGAACATACACCATCGCCCACCGTCGAAAACATTGAGACAAATTGATTGAAGGCGGGCAAACGTATTCTTAGTTAATCGCCGCCATAAATGATAATCAGCCCTCCCTCAAGAGCCAACAGCTTTCACTTACCAAATCTCTAAACAATCCAAGGTTAATTCACAACTTGCTTCAAATGTATCTCAGGATGATCGGAAATTGTTATAGGCAAATCGTAGGCCAATTAATACGTCTATGATTAATAAATTGTAATGTGACCTTGAGTCCGATCCGAATTATTTCCAACAGCATTCTCTTAATAATTGCGACCTACGAGACGGATAAACGGACAGATAAGCTTAGATCGGTTCAGAAAATGTTTCCCAATGATTCTGAATTGATCGGTATAATAAAACAAAGTTCGGCCTGCTTCATGCTTTTCTTGGTGTTGCATACATCTACACATACCCAATAATGCCCTTATACTATAAGTGGCGTAGGGTATAAAAGGCGTTTTTGTTCCTAGCATCGATCGAAAAAATAAGCAAATAAATAAATCAATCAACGAAGATACAATTTATGAATAAAATACACTCCAGTTTTACTTGTTTCGTGGGTTAAATTAATTACTAGTTTTATTAGAAGCTCATGAGCTCATGGCTCATGAGAAGGAAAGAAGCTAAGAAGAAAATTTTTCTTAACTAGCATAAACAAGTAAGAACAGCAAGGCCGAGCAAGGCCGATCGTTGAATAGCCTACATCACTACGCCTAGTATAGTTATTCGCTCCTTCACATTTTAATCACAATGCACCAAAAATTACACATTATTTTCATGCAACGGCATACTTTTCGTGAAAGCTCGCATATTATGAAACAACATATGACGTGATCCATATGTGACAAGTGTAATTTATGTCTCTAAAATGTTATTGCTTGCTTACTAAAACCATTATTTATTTATTAAAACTAAAAAGTAACTTTTTTCTCCACACAAGGAATTGAAAATAGATTCAGAGTTTAATGCTAATCGAGAATATATATAATTTGTGGGGTTTCTGAAACTTCCGTGTGGACGTTGCAACCGTGTGGTTTGACAAAATCAACATACCCCTCAGCCCCCTCAGGTTTTGTTAAAGCATTTTATTTACTTATTGTCAATATACAACAATTGAGAATGCCGCATATGTCAATTTTATCTTTCCGTCCCATTTCTCATGCTGCTACCATATCCTATGGAACTTCTGGGACCTACGACAAAAGTACACAACTATAAGTTATAAATAAATTAACAAAACCGAAAAAGAAAATAATTTAATGTTTCAAAGTAAACCGCAACTACTTACTAAACCATATTGCTGCCTGTCTAATAATGCAAATGGATATAAGACTTAAGGATAAATATATTAGATGTGTAACTTATGTTACAAATGATGTAAAATTGAAAACATTCTTAGGGGAATTCAAGAAAATAAACTTCTCGCTTGATAATAGAATATAAAACAAAACTTAATTTTAGCTAATAAAACAAGTACAATAAACTTAATTTTGAAAAGAAATTAATGAACGCACACACACACACCACACACACTTACCTTTGGCACGATATTTACTACGTTTGCCGTAACGCCAACTGGAAGCCATGACTGCATTTAACGTTATTTTTATTTTATAAAATTTGTATAAAAAAAAAGCTTAATTTATTTTTTTATTTTTTGTTTGTTTAATTTTTGGTCAAATAAGGAACGTTGTTGCAGTTATTATTGATGGAAAATCAGAAATATAGTATAAGTTAAGTCTTGAAAAGAAATGCACTTCGTCGCGTTATTAAAAGAACAGAGTAGACTTTTACGGCGGCCATGCCGTTTGCATACAACACTTTCAGTCAAGAGGTTGAACAATAATTTAAAGGAAATAAAAATATATATATAATAATTATTTTAACGTGTTAATTAGTAAATATGAACAAAATTTTCCATTAAAAACAATGCTGACAAAATTTTTTCCATTATTTTCATTAGCAGAAAACATCCTTTGCATATATTCACTCACTATCACAAATTTATTTTATTATTACTTCTTGTTATATAAATTTTATTATATTGCTTATGCTATTTTTTAATATTTATTTATTTTTTTATTTTTTTTTATTTTTTAATTTTTTGCTATTGATATCTGTTATTCTTTGATTTATTTCATCCACTTTGCAATTCTTATTAAACTGATTTACAGTTATTACAGTTTTTTTTTTCTCTTCTTCTTCTTCTTCTTCTTCCTATTTTAGTTTGCTTCTTTATGTACAAGACCACATCATTTGCAATAATTTTTTACCATTACTGTTTTGTGTGTTATTTATTTCATATAATAATCGCACTCTCGTCAATAATGATGATGATGATGATGATGATGATGATGATGATGAGGAAGATGATGATGATAATGATGGTGATGATGTTGAACAGCTTTTACTGACTGCTATCATAGTCGCCTTGATTTTTTTTTTGTTGTTGCTGCGATTGTAAAGCGAAAAAAAGAGGAAAAGAATATTGGAAAATTATATTTTAAATATTTTTATTTTTTTCTATTAAAGAGTTTTATTCATTAAAAAAAAAAAAAAACACGAGACGATTTCTTTACATAAGAATGTATGTGAGAGGAAGTATTTAAGTTGCTTTTTAATGGGATTTTCTTTTCTCACTTAAGACTATATGGTAATTTCCTTATTGGGAAACTATTTCATTCATATCATTGAAGGCAATTTCGATTTGTAACTATTTTGTGCAAATGTATAGAGGCAGATTTAAAGTATTTTTCAATAAACATCATATTATTTCATTTGTAGAATACTAGAGTGCTTAATTTTACTTAATATTTTCAAAATTGACGGGTTAGACTCGCTTTTTTTCCCGTTTTTGTGTTCATATTCTACAATTCTCATACGCTTATTTTACAACCTTTTTAGAACTTTTTTCTTTAAAACTACGATGACTGCAAACACAACAATTACTAAACGTTTGTTGAAAGCTAGAAATTTTTTTTCATATACATTTGCCCGTAAGCTTCATGCATTTCTCAACAAATGTAAATTTTCTTTTATTCTCTTAATAGAAATTATACTCTCAAACATAAACAGAGATGCCAAGTTTACACTGTCGTATGATATAAAAGAAAACTATTTAGATGAACGTTTTAAACGCATTTGAATCCCGTTGTATTTGTTGTTGATGTAATAAATTAAATGAGCACAGGCAGTCCCTACACAATTTAGCAGATTGTTCAACGATGTGTTTAGATTTGTCCATTGTTTTAATTACTTCATATTCCCTATACCGTAGGAGAATAAATAGAAAATAAATAAGAATTACTTTTGCATCGATTTCACCGAGATGCCGAAATATATACTCATTTCCGCGAACTAATTATTTCCTTCTAGTTTAACACATATTACATTTAATTCTTACCAGATTTTCAACGCTTTAAGTTCTCTAGTTGAGTATCCAACATGAAACTTGAATTTAGTTTTAAAAACAAACCCTCTTTTCTAATTGCATATGCGTAGAACCAAGCTTATCAGTTATCCAAGTAGATGCCTTCAGACAGTCAAATGTTATTTGGTTAATGTCATAATTGTGTGGAATCTGCAGCTTAACAAAAGCCAAACTTGATCATCAGAATGAAGAGCATTTTACAAATCATAACCATCGTGATTTCAGAAACTATGCCCGACACAAGCTAACCTAATTCTTTTCTCAGTACTATGTAATACCAAAATTGTAATCTGTTCACTACATTGGCTCGCGAATTTGGGATCACGATTAAGACTAAACAAACAAACTACTATTAAATTGAATATTTTTTAATGTGAAATACGCTTCAATTCTAAGACATTGAAATATTAAGCATTTCTATTTGCAATAAAAGCAATCTTTAATTGGCTCGATTAACTTTATCAAAAGCACTATAAGCATTAGAAAAAAATTGTATACAGTTTGGACGCAATCTGTTCGCTATAACGCTCGCATACTTGTGTTGTAAAATGGACGGAACTTATCCATTCGCTTAATATATTTGATTATATTTGTATATTCTTCTTGTTTTTTTTTACTTCATCCGAATTAGCTGGTTTAAATACTTGCCGCGTAGATTTTATAAAAAGTGGTATGAATATGTGGTCGCACCTAGCACCACGTCCTACAAGGTATAGCATTTTGTTGCTATAGTTTAGGGACAAGGAAAAACTATTAGCTCTTTGGTAAATTTGATAAACGACTCATGATTCGATTCGCTTTAAACCGGGTGACGTAATAAAAAAATTTTCAAACCGAACTTCTTCCACTAGATGAAAATTTTGTGATCGCCCAACAAATATGTAGACAAAGAAGGCTAAGACTCCGCCATGCCCAGTACTGAGATATCGGAGACAAGTTTTATCCGTTATCCAAATATTCAAGTCTCTTGATATAATCAATATAAACTATATCGCAGGCCAGGTCGTTTGGTCAAGTGAATATGCCGTACCTTAAGTCGCTTCAACTCAACGAAACGATAATTAAAGGGAACTACAAACAACCGTTGATGCAATTAAGCCGATCGTTAAAGAAGAAATCGAAGCAATATACTAAAGGACATAATAGGATGATCGCCCAGCAAACGTCGAACGTATCCAGAAAATGTTAACAGTACAAAATAAAAATGCATGTCATATCCGAATTCAATTATTTACGCTTCTTTCTTCAATTTTCTGAGCCGATAGAGACACTTTCTTTTGAAATTTCGTACCTCGACAACTCTATTTTCCAAAAGACATTCTCTTTCACTTCAACTCTCTACAATCAGCAGGAAGAAGTAAAATAGTAATACAACCCAACAATACAACTGAATACATGTGCATTTTACATGCATACATGTACATAAAATTATACAAAAACACTATAAATACTGACAAACCGACACTACATAAACGGACTAAAAACCGCACGCATACATATATGTAGAAAGCGATGCAGCAAAAATATGTGAAAAATTTGCAAATAAGACAAAAAAAATAAAAGAAAAAGAATAATAACAACGAACCACACTAAAATATATAAAATAATAGAATTTAGAGAGAGAGAGAGAAAAAGAGAGAGAGAACTGTATAAACTCCACAATTAACCCAAAACATCTTTTCTTTTAAGGGAAATATGCATTTGTCATGTATATAATAAGAGCATTCGAATACCAGATATATATGAAATAGAATTGGAATTTTGCTTAGCATAAATCGTCGTAGTACAGTAAAGTACTCAAAAAAAAAAAAAAAGATTATAGAAATTTCCATTTGTAAAAATCTACGTAATGTTAAAAAAGTACAAGGACTTTTAGCAGATAGCGGACGGAATAACTATTGGGCCATTAGGTGGCAAAAGATGAAGAGAGACGCGGTCAAAATATACTCTCAGTAAAAGTTGAGATTTTTATTTTTTTTTCTTAAATACGTAGTTATGAATGGCAATAGGGGTTGATTTACTATCAAAAGGTAGATCTGAGCTCACATGTCCACGCACATATATGCATATGTATACTCAGATGAAGCACTAGCGCAAACTTATGTTCAAAAAACAAAAAAAAGACAAACAAATCTAAATAGAATACTACGAAGATTTTTATGGAATAAAATTAATGTTAGCGTGCGCTAGAACCAAAAAGAATCTTTTTTGTTTAATTTCTAAGCTTGTCAATAAGCTCTATAAGAATAAGCTCTTTAAGAACTTAGTTTAAATGCTCGTAAAATAATATGATATATAATATATAGATATGATTTTTTAGCGAATCAATAAAAGAAAGTGTTGATAGTTTTTGGGGAATTCTCTAAGCAAAAGTGTTATAGTCCTAAGGAAATTGTCCAGCTCTGCGTTACTTAATATATTGGGAAGAATGGGAAAATATTGTTCTTTCATCTTCCCAGCTTTTATTTGGTTAGGATATTAACGGGGGAAAATGGAATAAAAATTTTACTTTCAGCCGTTGTATGTTTGCATCATTGAACGAAATGGGATAAAATTTACTAAATCGCATGATAAATATTCAAGTCGAAATGCAAAGGCATTTGCACACATTACAAATTTACTGCAAACGCGCATAACTAATTATAATGGCGATGGGTTGGTGTTCGGTGCAACAAATACACGCTGCGTTCATTCTATCTGATCTTGACTTGATTAATGTCAAAATCAACGCCGATAAACGCAAATGCAAAAGCAAAAGAAATCATTCAGAAAGCGAAAATTTGAATCCACAGATAAAATTGCCCACAATCTGCGAAATGTTTTCAAAATTGACAAAAACAAATTACAACCGGTAAAGGCATATGCGCTTATTCGATTACATTATATACACGTTAATTTAAATACGTAGAAGCATCCTAAGCAGAATTCAGACACCGGCGGAAATGCTCGCAAAAATCCGTCTTCTTTTGATGTGCTATCAAATTTACGAAAACTCTCGTATGTATATTGTATTACTCATTATGCTGTAGTGTGTACACAAGTATTATATTTATACACACAAATTTGTAGCAAAATTCGGGCAATCTATCATAACCCTCTCACACCGTATGTACTTTCTTTTGGCAATGATGCAACGTGTAAGAGGAGGGATAAGTGTATTACCTACATCAAGATTTCATTCATTCACAATTGCTAAGCTTAGTCGCTTGCGAAAACAGTTACGTGCAATTAGATCAGCGAAACACACACACAGAGACGATAAACAAACCGAGGTGAAGAGAATGTAATATATGCACCTATTACACAATTTCCACAAAAATGTAAAACATGCAAAACTTCACCAGAGACTCTTGTCTTTAATAATGCATTAAAAACAAGAAATTATCATTTTATTTTTCTATTTTTTGTTTTTTTTTTTTCTTTTTTTTTTTTTTTGAAGCTCGCCTATACCACTACCACATATCAATTACATATTTTTCATATGTAATTTTACGTTTTATTTATTAAAATTTTCTTTTGACGCACATTAAATGAATCAATAATAATAACAATACGTCAACGTCGATATTATGTAGTAGAAGAACACTAAGCGCTACGTGTTTACATAAAATATATAGGCAACATTAAACAAACTTCTGGCGTAAAGTTTGATTGGCCATAGTAGTAGTAAAAAGAGAACAAAAATAAAGCACTCGGCACAAAAAAAAGAAAAGCGGCGTTCATTCCGTGTGTATTTCCGTATTTACATTATATTTTTGCCTTTTTTCCTTCTACACTATTCTTCTCTCTTCATTTCTTACTTTTGATTAGCTTACGTGCTTCATGTGTGTTTTTTTAGCGCATCTACAAATAGGAAAAACGCGCTTAATACATTAGAATATTTCTTGTTTTTCGATAGTTTTTCGAGTTTTAACTCAATCTTGGAAAAATACCGCCAATAAGATATAATTCCAATAAGTTGAAACAATAGATTTATGTAAAGACTACCCACACATCCGCCTATATTATAACCTAATTATTTTACTTTTCAATCGATTTAGACCATCAAACAAAACAATGCATCTACGCAGTTCAAATGCAAAGATACTCTTTAGATTATCTTAAAATTTATTTATAGTATCTATTGCATAATTGGCATCGGAATATTTCGTGGATATTGTTGAAGATATTATTGTCCCTCATTACATTCAATAAGTTTCAATGAGATAAATGAATAGGGATTATTTTCAGTTCAAAATCAGCCAAGAAGACATTAGACTGCACCAAAACTACATAAAAAAAATGTTCGCACGAATTATCGATTAGGCCTATGTTTAGTTTTTAGAGAGAATGTTACAATAATGTACTTCTTTTTTTTTTTTTAATAGTAAAAATCCAAAACGCAGCAGAGTCTAGTCAAAATTAAAGCATTTTAAATACTGCAGCAGTATCATGCGTATGGATTGCATGCAAAACTATAAATGCAGAATTTCGGCAACACTATATACCACATGCCCATGACAGCAAATAAAGCAAAATAATTCCAGATTTAAATAGAAAAATTAATTCATTTTTATTAAATATAATCATTTTATTTTCATTTAACGAGCTTTTATTAATTTGTAATTTGTTACGATCATCGGTATATTAGAAAAACTATTTTCATTTAACACGAGAAATATTTGTTGTAATTTTGCTATAAGATACCGCTTCATTATTGTGTTATTGCTTTTATGTATTTGTGTGCCGTTAATTATGTGTATTCTTATTTGCTTTGCAATAATATCCATTTGTGTTGTTGCTGTTCTTCTGCTTCATTTCTTTTTGTACGGTTTTATTCCAATAAAAGAAGAAATGCATTTTTACAACTTTACAAGTAGATATATGTTTATGTATTTATTATGATGTGTAACTTTTCATTCTTTTCGCCTTTATTGAAGAAGTGAAGCGTATTTTTAATAAATTTGTTGTTTTTATTAGCTTTGTTATTTTTTTTAAGAAACACAATCCAATATTACTGTAGCAAACGGTAAAAGCTCTATGGTTTCAGCGTACAATTTACCTCGATATTAAAATACAGGCAACATATAACTTTTAATTAATTTATTTTGCTAGTACTATTTTTCTAAATAACTTTTCTACTCTTTCAAGGACTAAAAAGAATTCGCCCGCCGCACAACGCTAACATCGAAATCAGACAAAAGTTCATGATAAACTAGTGCTGCCAGCATTTTTGATTTTTTTCCGTCTTGCGTTTTAACGCAAGATTACCGCCAGCCATTATAAACTTAATATGTGCTAAACAAAAAAATTGATAAAATTCTTCCATGGCTCTACTAGGTAAACAGACTGAATGTAAAAAAGCTTTTTACGTGTTTATTCGTTTTTTTAATGCTACACAAGTTGATAAGTATACAAATAAAATGACACTTAAAAACTCACCTCTGTGCTATTTAATAACGAGAAGGATCTACGTAATAAAGTTTTGCATGATTGGTAACCCTAGCAAAGTAACAAAACAAAATTAAAAAGAAGAAAAAGAATTTTTGCTGTATTTCTTATAAATTAACTTTAAAAAAAAAAAATTCTCATTTCTCTTTAATAAATAAGGAAACATTACTGTTTACATAAGTAATCATATACTTTAATTTAGTTTACTTGAAAAAGTGCCTATTTAGGGCAAAGTGCCAATATAATCGTTTAACAAAAAAATCTTAATTTCAATAAATACAAATGAGAAACAAAAATACGAGACATTTAAATACACTTTAAAAATTTTTCCAATAGTAATGCAAAAATATATAAGAAAGTGTTTTAAAATCTCATCAAAAGAAATCAAAGTGCTGCGTAGCAAAAGCATATAAATAAGAGATCGTCTGATATACTTATAAATGTTAAGTGGGTGCGGTTTGTACTACAATAATTATGGAGAATCTAGATGTCAATTTTGGTCCGCAGCACAATAATCGACATCAAGTATTACAAAAATATAGTACATCGTTAAAGTTATTACGAAATTACGCAGAGAAAAAATATCAACTGCGTCCGTTTGTCTTCGACAATTATGTGCTCTTCCAATTTTTTCAACAACGAAGTAATGATGAATCACACGATTCAAGTGGCAGTAATGCTGCAACGCAAGAAGAGGGCTGGGCGGCCTTTCTTAAAATGGAGCTGTTAAATCATATTTTGGATCGTCGAAGACAGATTATGTATTGGTTATTTTATCTATTGTTGGCTTTATTATGCGTATTAGTTTATCGATACGAATCTTCGACATCAGTAGCCGAACGTAGCGTAAAATCAATGGTGTATCCCGGTATGCGCATGTGGCGTCGTATGACCTTGCCCTTAATTGAACGTTTTCCACGTTTAACCGAATTGTATGATGAGTCTTGTCTGATGGGCAATCCTTTCTTTCAAATGGACGATTTAAGTTGTTCTCCGTGTGCGCATGTCGAAGCGGTATTAGATTTAGGTAATACTATGCAAAAGCAAGCACTTGAGAGTAATAATAATTTGGGTATACAAAAAATGCCCACATTGGAGTATGTGCCTTTCATATTTAAGGTATTTTCTAGCTGGAAATGAATTGAATTAATTTTTTTTAAAACTTATATACACATCTTGTTTATATACTTTCAGATTGATCAGAAACCCATGAAATTACAACAGTTTTACAATATTTATTCGAGCAATTATGAAATCTTCCAGCGTGATGCTTATCGCGTACAATCTACGAAACGGGAAGTCACCAATCTGGATGAACTTTTCATTGAACTCAATCGTACACAACAAACTCAAAGTCACAATTTATGGCGTTGTAATCGCATGCTGCCAGCACGTTTGCTTAGACAACTAATTGCCCGACCTTCAACTTTGCCTAATAGTTTAGCTCTGGAACGTTTTATGGCTATTGACACGCCGCAAGCTCCCTCATATACTCTACCTGATACCGAATGTCCGCATGCTTATGTACAACAGGCTTTGGGTAATCGTTTCATAATATTAAGGCCTACAAGTGAATGCCGTCATCGCTGCCGTACTTTGTCAATGCGCCTGCCACAATCCTTTGTCTGTACGTTCATAAACATATGAAGAAAAAAAAAACTGTTTTCTAAATTCTGTTAATTTATTTTTGCAGTAAGCTATAATTGGTGGTATTGGAAACCGATCTCTGCCCCAGATCCTGTCTCTGACACCTTATCTATTAGTCTCATAGGCTCTTATTGTTAGGTTGCCTCTCAACATATCCTTTATTTTCTATTCTTAAAGTAAAATTTTAAATATTTTATTTTCTTTTTCCTTATTTTAAATCTTACTGTGAAAACCTGTCGTTGTATTATCTAAGAGTCACAATAACACAAACGTGTTTATATATTAAATATGAAAAGATAAAAAAAAAAAGAAAAAACAAAACAAAACAAAATGCAAATGAAAAAGAGAAAATTAATTTAACGTTAACAGCAGTTATGTATGTTGAAAGAAATCGCTCGGATTTTATTAAAGCATTTACTGCAATTATGTATGTATGTATGTATGTATGTATTTTTCAACCACCAAGGATTTTTACATAAATTAAGATGACTTATTTGTTATCCTTTGCTTAGGGTTTATATTTTTAAGAGAAAGTCTGTATTTACAAAAAATGCAGAAAGAAAGAAAGTCTGATTTATAAGCAAGAGAGAGAGAGAGAGAGAGAGAGAGAGAGAAAGGGAGATGTTTAACAAGAAAACTTTTTTGTGCAACATTTAGTAATTTTCGTATATAATATTTTCCCTGATTTCATTCAAAATGTAACGGTATTATAATTCCAATATAAATATTTTTAAGTATACGAAACTCAAAATGAAAAATAAAATTATATATTTAGAAATAAAAGGAAAAGCATTTCTAAATCAAGTCGCGCTGCAGTTTTAAATTTAATAGTAAACAGTAAAGTTGTATTTGGTTTTTTTTTTTGTTATGTGCACAAACTCCACTAGCGTGAATAGTAAAGCCCTCATTAATTATGTTCCGTTGCCTCTTTGTTGCTTGAAATAGCGATTATGATTCAAAACTTTTCCTTTGGCAGAACCGAATCCATCCTCGATATTTTTATTATACAACTTTTCAGATCTATGGCTTCGCCGAATTCGTTAAAGGATAATCTTACATTGCGAGTATGAACTAACGGATTATATATCATTAATTTATTTATACAAGAATAATTTTCCGTCTTACCTGTCATCGAATCGAGCAAACTTGCTAAATCCAATCACGACCCATCCAGAAGACGCCTTTAATAGATCCCAACGTAACAATTCTTAGAAGTTTATTAGCAAATATAACGTCAAACTTCCATAGCGTTAACCTTATTTAATATTCCCTTATTCTCGTTGCTTTAAGCTAAAACGCCTTCGCTCCATTTAGATAGCATTCCTTTTTTAGCTCATATCTACCGCGATTCAATAAAGAATTAATAAAGTGTTCAAGAATAAAAGGAACAGACTAATTCAAGAAATAGACAAAACGTAACTCTGTTTATGATTATTTCGACTATCCTGTCCTTTTCTAGACATAGATTTGACGGCTTCAATCGTTAGATTTATACTTCACATCTTTCTAAGATAAAATTTTCATTCTCAATTAGTGCAAAGCTCTTTTACATATTTGGAAATTCGGAAAGGATTTCCAACGTCGTTATGGCTTGCGAACAGATATGGAATTTTTATCTTTCTGCAAAGTTCCAAGATAAGACAATTTTACTGTGGCAGCCTACACGCATGAATTTAAAGACACAATACGATTCTAAATTCGGTCATTTCATAAAATGAGATGCTGCAATTTTTAAGTTTATCATAAGCGTTTTCACAAATTCGGTCGTGACTCTGATTCTCGTTTGCCTTTGGACAAAGTCCGGCTAAATTTTTCAGGGAATGTATTACCCTCCCACATTTGTTTAGAAGATATTAATTTCCCAGATAAACCTAAGATTTTCTTGAAAGCCGCAATTTAATTTTATTAAATAACGATGATCTTACTCAGTTTTGTTCCGTCTTTTCTTGCACAGCTCTTTCGATCTGCACATCTTATCTTAGTTCTTTGAGTACCTGGAGTACCCTTAATTGTACCTCAGATAGTTCTCATTGTTTAACCACTCGCATATCCGTGTTTCAAAATATATTAAATCCTCTTTGCTTAACAGTACTATCAGATACATTTTGAATTCAAGCCGATGACCTTTCGCGTTGTTTCTTTGATAGATTCTCAAAGTCTTTCACTAATGCTTTGAGCAGAGAGGCTTCTAAAAAATCATACCCTCCTAATCCTCGATGAAGTACCGCATGCAAACTTAGCCTCACTGTAAATAAATGTAAAAGATCTTCTTCTACAATAAATTTCAAATTTTTGGACGATGTTCGAAAGGAATACACATGTACACTCAGACTGTAAAAACGTAAAAGCTAGAAACAATTTTGTGAAAGCGACATGTCAATTTCAGATCTTTGGCGTACCGTGAGAATTTTCAGAGGTATTGCTTTCTCTCATTATCCTATACACAGCTCTTTCACGAGTTTGGCTGCAAGCTCACTAGACCTTCGGGTTCAATAATATACTCTATATCGCTTGGTGAGGGGCGTGATTATTTTTACTTAAATGACATATCTCTCTGAACTCGATAAAGCCGTTAGTCAGTCAAAACATGCAATCTCTAGATGTTGAACATCGAAAACGGATAAATTCTACTAAAGGCATTGAACAACATTCGAATTACCGTTTATATAATCTCTTGCTGGTACGACTTTCATATTTTCACTTTACGAAAAAACAATAGCTCGCCAATTAATCTTAATTCCTGCTGATATATTTTTGAGAAAGTATTCTATTTTGAGAAAGTATTATATACGCGTTTAGAATGATATCTCGAATCTAAGTGTATCCTCGGCAACTTTCACTTTGGTTTTGGAAGTTACACATCTGCCCAAGACAACATTGTCACTTTGTGATCACCGATCAACCGTCAAGCGGTTGCTAAGAACCACATTCTCATGGCCTGCTTTTTGGACATAACTTCAGTGTTTGATTCTGTCAACATTAACATATTAAATTCTATTCTACTCTCTTTGAATCTCCCTCTCAAATTCTTTAATTTACTATATGACCTATAAGAACTTGTTAATTAATAACGGTGTTGCTGTACGAAGGAGATCTTTCACAGGTGTTCCTTAGGGATCTGTAATATGTATATTAAGAAAATTTTCAGGTTCCTTTCCGAGAACATCTCAATTTTGGGCTATACTGACGATCTTGTCATTTTTAGTCCCAAATTTGCGAAGGCGTACTTTGCAATCTGCCCTGGGCACTATTTCCTCTCGTCGTGAGCCACTCCAAACTCACACTTTCAGTTAATGATTCAAAAAATTGAGAGACCCTATGATTACTCCCCTTCTCATATATGGTTCTTCTATTTCTTTTGCTAGAAGGTTCGATTTCTCGAAACTTTCTCTTGCTGTTCACATTGGCAAAATTGCCAAACAATGTTTTCAACGCATTAACGTACTGCAGTCGATTTTTGGTATTTCTTGGTGCTCCGACCCTTTTTATATAAGCAAACTGCAAATTAAAGTGCGTTTGTTCGCTCTTATTGCACATTTCGAATAAGGACCATCTGAAAATATGCAGAATTCAATGGAAATGCCTTCGTCTCGCTCTTGGTGGCATGAAATCTACCCACACACTAAGCCTAGAACAGATCGCGAATGTTATGCCTTGACAAGAAAGATTTCGTTTACAAGCTAATTTTTCATCTAATAAAATTCTATCTTTTGATCATCTGACCGTACCTTTCACTTAGAACCTTCCGCCACTCAATTCCTCTCCTTTCTTGTTTAAAATTTTTGCTGACAAAATCAATAATTTCAAGAATCTAAGAATTGATGTACATAGCTTATTCAAGATTCCTATGGTTTCTCAATATTTTCAGCCAGTAATTAAGTTCTTATCGGTGAGGAAATCCACAATTACTCCGGCAGAAATGCGTCAACGCTACTCGAAGTTGGTCAATAACAAATGGATGCATTTTTCACTCATTTTTACTGATGGATGGAAGACTGATGTTGTGAACAGCGGCTTTTGATTTTCAGATATTAATGTAGAAGCTTACTTCTCAAATCCCCCAAGTAGCACTATACTTTCGGTTGAATGTCTTTCGATCCTGAGAGGCGTCCGCTGAGCGAGTAAATTTGTCTGTAAAAACTCACCCTTACAGATTAGAAATATAATATAATACATTTTGTTTTCATTTTCTCTGGGTGCCCAGACACATGCGCATTCTTGGCAACACCACTGCAGATAAAATTGCACCCTCCAGGCCATCCCATTTTAATGATCATTTGAGGGCAATCGACAAAAAATATTTAATTTCTTTTTGGCAATCGCGATGGAATAATTCACCTTATGGTCGTCATTTATAGTTTTTATTTTCACAAATAAATAAAGTTCTTCGGTTGATCAACTGTGGACTCAGACGTGACATTATTTGCTTTATTAACAGGCTGATGTTTAATCACACGAGATGTAATGATTTAAAATTAACATAGTGAATAGCCCTTTATGTGTATGTGTAATCTTACAATCTCCTGATCATATTCTATTTGTCCGTTCGAATGTTACCACTTCTATTCGCCATTTCGCAAGTTAAATATATGTGGTGTTCGTGACCACAGCCTTCTTGAAATTTTGCGTTCTCACAATTTAAAAGCTTTCTCCGCGATCTTTTGTTGTTTTAAATCATGTCATCAAGATATATAAGCATTTACAGTCAATTTAAGAACCCACACTCCTTCACATATTTTTAGCTTCGCACTTTCATATGACACTTTATACTCATGTACTGTATTACTTCTTACACTCGGTGTTTTCTATCTCATATGGTTATTTTAAAAAAAATTTTAAAAAATAATGTGTTAAAAAATAACGTGGCGCAAAATCAAAAAGCCATTAATCAAATATATTTTCAGTTATGAAATATAAAGAAATAATAAGATAAAAAAATAATAACAATTATATAACTTTATTTTTTTTTATTAACTTTACTTAAGTTCAAACAAAGAAGCCTGTGTTCATAATGGGCTTTTTCTGCACAAGTCATCGAATTTTCAGTTGTTGATTTGCTGAGTAGAAAAAGAAGATATTATTTACTCGTTGGCACCCCTAATAATTCTATTACAACAAAAAGCACGCGATGAAATTATATTAGTAAATGCAACGCTAAGCCATCATCAATATATATGCTCTTTAATATAAATAGAAGCTTAGGCGAAGCATTTATTGAATGAAGATATATCGGGTCGGGTAAAGGACAGTGTAAACAGCGTATTTCATATCTACTCTCCTCCTGTCCTTATATACTTTTAAAGCAAACAAAAATATATTTATGTTGACAAATTCATGGGCTCCGTGTATTGTCATTTGAAAGCAAACATATCAAAATTAATTACGCAGTATAAAATCGAAGTTGACAGCACTATTGTTTACAAATTTCGCAGCAGAGGTTGGTAAGAGACTGGAGACTTAAAAAAGAAACGAAAATTTCTTACTTTTTAGGAAGTGCGTAAAGAATATTTTAAATAAAGATATTTAGACTCACTTAACAGTAATAAGTGTTTTTTTGATAGGTAGCAAGCAAACATTAAAATATAAAAAAAAACTGTTATATAATCACAACCTCCCACTTATGCGTGCAAAAAATTAATAGTTATGAGGATTTATAGTTCAACTTTGAAACGTCTTTTAGATTACTGGCCGGGTAAAAAGCGATTCGGTCTATACAGATTCCTTCCGCTATTCTTTTGTTTAGGCGCAGCGTTAGAGTTTTCCATGATTAACTGGACTGTCGGCGAAACAAATTTTTGTAAGTTCAACTCAAAATACTTAAACTACACTCACTAATTTATCTATTCATTGTTCGTTTATAGATCGCACTTATAAGAAACGTCAAGCGAAGAATTACATCGAAGAACAATCAGCAAACTTAAATACTGAAAGCAAATAAGCTTTGAAGCTAGTTAAATATGCCGGCTGGGGTATCGTGGGGTCAATATTTGAAATTTATATCCTGTGCGTTATGCACAATGTTGGCCGGCGCTCAAATAGTGCATATGTATTATAAGCCATTAGAAGATTTGGATAAATACATTGAAAAAGAAATGAAGGACGCCCAGGTTAGAAAGTCTTTTAATAAAGATAAGATTGTCAGCTAATATTGTTTTTAAGAAGTAATTTATAGTTTAGAAATGCTGTATTAAATAAATTGTTTAAATTTTTTCCTCTAATTAAGCTAATCTTATTTTCTAAGTTACACTTCTCACTTAAGATTAAGTACAGTGTCTTGATAGTTTCAGGTCAAACTACCTTTTAAAATTGAAGCACTAGAGGCGGATGGGGAAGATTGATGTGCCAGATTACTTAGAAAGCTACGGTTTAGGTTGCTAGTATACAAATTTTCTGTGCCACTGATTTTCTCATGCGTTTTACGATGATTTTTTAAGCAAGTTTGTTGTCGAAACGCTTGGCCACATATATTGCACACATACGGTTTCTCTCCGGTATGTATATACTCGTGATGGCGTAATGTTTTCCGAGTAGCGAAACACTCTGAGCAATATTGGCATTCGAAAGGCTTCAGTTTCATATGAACTGCCTTTACATGGGATTCCAATTCGAATTTGCGTATAAATTTTTTACCACACATTTCGCAGGGCATTTTCTCTGTATCGTCGGAATGGACAAGCATGTGTTGAACCAGCATAAATTTTTTGGCCATACGCCGTCCGCATACTTTGCACTCATAGTTCATGTCGGTTGAGTGCAACTGCAGTTTATGATATTTTAATGTATAACGGGAATGGAATAGTTTCTGGCATACATCACACTCAAAACGTTCCTTAATTTGAGCTTTAGCGGCCAATTGTTCTTCGGTGGGATGACGGGTTTTCATGTGGTATTTCAAATTGGCGGATTGATTGAATGTTGCACCACAGTGTTCGCACACATAAAGGTTTTCAGGCGGCGTATCGCTATGTTTTAAACGTTTGTGTCGCTGCAAGGTTATATATGCGGTATATACTCGATCGCAATCAGGATAATCGCATCTAAAGGCGCGACTTTCGTTTTCATGGTATTCCTTAATATGAGTATAAAGACCACCCGCAAATGTGTAAGCTTTATCGCAGCGATCACATTTAAATGGTTGCTTCTGTCCCTCGTGTATCTTACGAACATGAGCATCCAACGTGATTTTGTGAGCGAAACTATGATTACACTGTTGACATTTGTAAATATTCTTTAAACCCTTAACACGTCTAGGCGGTCGCTTAACAGCGTTATTTTGAGATCTTCGTAGTTCTTCCATTTCCCTTTTTGTTCTTCGTTTTCGTCGCGTTTTCTTTGGTACGTTTTCGGATTCAAAATCGGAATCTTTGCCGAAATCTTCTTCAGTTTTTATATCGTCTTTTTCTATCTCTGCTTCGATCAACTCCTCTTCAGCTTTATCGCTTTGTGCAATTGGCTTCGTTAGGACTTCGTCGCCATCAGAGAAACTAATACTCTTTTGAAGCCAATCAAATTCTTCACTGTTCTCGGATTCAATTATAGGCTTCTTTGATTCCAATTTCTTTTTCTTCGCTTTACTTCTGGTTTGTCGCTGCTCTATGGAGTTCTGTTCAAAGGGATCGGGATCTACTGGAGCGCTTATATTGTTTTTCTCCAAGGTCTCTGAGTTTAATAATATGGATTCAGTTTCCATTAAACCGTCCTTTAATAGCACATTGTATATTATTAATATTCGAAAGTGGCTAAAAAATCCTAAAAACTTACCAATAAATTGTACATTTCATTAGGCCTTTCATTTGAATCTACGATAAATGTATTGCTTTTATTATTGCAATCATTTTCTCTTTTAATTACCATACTATTGCATTCTGTTCTGCTGCCACCTCTTTTGAACAAAAGATGCAGCCTCTCTGCGCTCTTGACCGCTTTCAAACAAAACCTTTCAAAGCTTTGCAATTTATCAAAACAATCAAAGCACATTTTTTGAGGATATTCCAAGTCAAGGCACGGGTATTCAATTCCTTTCATATTGAGCAATTTAGTTATAAACATTTGTAGATCGCGATTTGTATTCATGTCAATGAAAATTTGTTTATTTTTCAGCATAATCTCGTCATCTACTCTAATTGTACTGTCGCTATTCTTGCAAGCAATTAGAAAACGCAAACAAATACGGCAATGGTCTTTAGCACTTTCTTTGGTCAAACTCTTGGTGGCCATAGCAATTATCCATTCAAATGTTTATCGATTAGGGGTTCCTTTTGTTTACAAACTGTTTCAATTTTCTTACTAATTAACCAAATAATAAACTTACTTTCCAGTGTTGCCATAGCACTAACATCATATTTAAAATAAAATGAAAAAAACGGATAAAGGATTTTAGTATAAACGGTTTTGAGAATACGAAAGGAAAGATAAAGAATACGTGTCGAATATTCATATGTCATATTTTACTATTATTACCGATCCTAGCACAACAAGCACAATTAAAAAAATAGGGAATATATGCCTATGCTTGAATTTCTATAATGAGGGATAGTCGAAATATGGGGTCCTTTTCATTAACAATTAAGCTGAATGTTAGATATATTCAGCTATTAGTGAATAGCATATCTATAAAACAATATTCGGTTTATGCGCAAGTTAAAATATAAATTTAAACGTAGAATTTCTCCCCATTAATCATCAACTGGAATATAGCTTAACACCAAGCTCAATCTCATTAATCTAACGCTAAGAATTTGCTAGAAAATGTTAGCGATAACCATACAGTTATTTAAAGAAGTGTTTGACAGCGAACTTTAAGTTCAAATTAGCGTATTGAGAATGGCCCTTAGCAATTCTGCTTTGAATTTTCACATTCGTGGAGTAGATTCAAAAACAAACCAACTCATATTTTATGGAAATTTATAATTTAATTCTCTTATTCTTCCAAACAGATTATTTTATATCTATCGTCGTAAGCTAAGTATTTGCTTCCATCGCTTAACTGTATCCAACAGACTTTATAAAATTGATGTAGTTTCACTCGATTTGAATAGCTTGGTTAATTAACTTTGTAAACTTTGTAAAGTTTGTAAAATGAAAATTTGAACTGTACGCTTTGCCGTACTTTACAGATGTTTGTAAGCGCAGATATATCACAATTATATTGCTTTTGGTGCTTTCACTAACAGAGTCAGCAATACGAAACTTAAAAGCGCACACGGTTGTAGCGGCGATGAGATTTTGCAACCGGATTAAACTATCGGCGATATGGTAAATGTCAAGCATTTGGAATTAAAATTACCAGCAGCTGAGATCTGCAAAATCTTTCTAAAACTTTTTAAATACTCCTTGTTTTGATACAATTGTCGCCCTTATGATAAACTGCTAAGGTTTACTTACTTGGAAATTTTATGTAAATAATGATGTTATTGGCTTTTTTATAGAAAAGTGAACTAGTTAATGGAAAAAATTGCTTATTATTTATGAGATTATTACATGGTAGGATTTATACGTTCTTGTACTTCTTTTTTAGATTTTGGTGTTACGTTCGCAATGGGTGAAGATTCTTTCATGTTGCTTTCATCAATGTTCTTATTTTTAATAGGCGTTCTTTCTGCTTTCACAACATCGTACTCCTTAAGTTCACCCAATTTTAGTGGTATACTTTGCAGTTCTCTTTTGCGCATTTCTAAAGAAATATTGAAGACAATGTTTCGATTATATTTACCCAAAAATTTAAAGGAATTACTTACCAATATCTTTTGACAATTGTAATAAACGAATTTAAATTACAATCAGCTGCCTGTGGAAATTATGGACTTTAATATCTGTTAGGATTGCCATGAGTACACAAATGTAACTTTAATTGAAATTTATTTTATAGAATGATAACTCTGACAATATACGATATTTATTGCGTGCCAACGTTTGTGAGTTTTGTGTCTTTATGTGCAATTTTTTCTAACTAATCTTTTCATTTAATTAAATTATGAATTTGAAAATTATAAAAAAAAAGCACGTAAAGAATAAAAAACAAAAAGGAAAATTTTAAAAAGTATAATAATATAATGATTGCTACCATTTATTTCCATCAAGGAAGAGAAACAAAGAAATTGTGCAAGTGTATGTGAAAATAGATAAAAAGGAGAGACAAAGTCTTAAGGATTTGTAGCATTCCCATAAATTACTGCCAATTTAATGTCTATTTCCTTATTATTCTGTTTTTGTTTTTGACGGTTTGTAAAAAACAAAAGAAAAAGACGATAAACGGAGCATCTTGTACTGTTTCGACTTTTCTTTCGATTACCTGTAACGCACCTAATAATATTAAGCGAATAATCTCCGTCTGTGTTTGTTTATGTAGCGCTGAAAGCTATTGCCAAATTAAATCAAATTCAAGTGAAAGTTTCTGCAAGTTAAAAAAAAAAAAAAACATGAATAACTGTGCTTAATTAAAAAGGTTACGATTTGATGTGAGAAAAGCTGTCGTTCCGCATCCCTCGTGCGATGAGTTAATTGCTTATGAATGAATTCCACTGTAATAATTCCTTTTTAATTTTTTTGTACATTAATTTACGTAATTTATTGTCTCTTCACGTCTCAGTCTTATCTATAATACAAAAAAACACTTAATAAGTAATCTATAGAGCGAACGGTAGCTTAAAAAACATTTGAACATTATATGAATTATAATCAATGTTTTTCCATTTACAACAACATTTTATTATGTGTTGCATGAGTTCCTAGTGTAAAAGTAAAACAATTAAAATTGAGCGTTGCCCGATTTTCCTGGACTTTTTTAAGCATAAATATATAAAAATACTTCAAGATGGGGTTGCTAATATCAAAATTATGGAGTATGTTTGGTAACGAAGGTAAGTTTTTATACATATTATCATGTATAATAATCTAATTAAATCACTACTACAAGTTTTAAATCTTTAGAAACATTACGCGGATGCAATAGCAACATATTTATGTGTCCATTAAAGACAACACGTGGCAATACGCCATCGTATAATTTTGTAAAACGATTTAAGAACTAGGCGTTCACCTGATATTAGATAGACCTAATAATGGTGTTAGGACTAACAAAGCAGAAAGCCTAAAGATATTTGGCTTGGGACGATTGCTGGATATCGTCTTAATGTCTTGAGGGAGGATATATATAGATTATAAAATATTTTTTTAGGTGAAAGAGTCAATTGTCGGATTCAGATAATTTCTTTATTTGCTAAAATCGGACTGTAAACGATTCATGTCCATTTTTAAACTTTATGTATGGCGTTAATCTTCAAGTTTATACCTCAAATTTCCTAATTGCAATATTGGCAACGACTTGCAACGGACAGACAGATGAGTCTCACTTTTATGTGTTTCCAATGTCTACACTTTTTTCTTAGTCGTAAATGTGCACATTCTTTTTTGCGCTTAAAGTACTAGGCTACAGAAAGACAGAAATATAAGTGTCAAAACGTATTTCCTTTATGGTTTCCAGTGAAGAAGTCAGTATCACGATTTAAGTTAAAATTAAAAGAAAAAAGGATTAAGTTAATTTAACTACAGTTGGGAATTTGCGAAACAAAAAAAAAAAATGCTAACGTTTGAAGTGATCATCGATATGGCTTTTGCAAGACTTTTTAGATATTGTCAGTGGCTTTATTTGAGTTAAGAAGCCTTTGGTTTGTTTTGAAGAAAAGCGGGTTATTTTGAAACAAGACAAACTGCAACGGGCTTCTTGTTCAAAACGTTAATCATTACGCCATGACTTGATTACTTACTATGTAGACAACACACATGATGAGCTTGCCACTGCACCTGCTTAAAAGGAAAACAGGTTTTTTTAGAATGCATATAATAAAATAATAATATTCAATGAGATTATTAAGGATATATTTCAGTGTTAAAAAGAAAAATTATTTGAAAAATATTAAAATATGGCAACAGCGGAGCCGTTCTTGTGTGTTCAATTTAGGGGCCTCTGTGGTCCATAAAGGATAGCCCAAGTAATACCGGGGGGAGTTTGAAAATGTTGATTCTGTGTGATTGGCAAGTATTTGAATGAAAAGTTTAATTTTTGACCACGAAAGGCAATTATATGAATAAAAGGAAGAAGAGAAAGAATGAGAATTCTAAGAGTTAATGCGTCGGCATTGTGATTCAAAAAAAAATACATTTAAAGATTTTAAGTTAAAAGTTTTAAGTTAAAGTTTGGAATTCGTTATAGACACACTTAAATATTTTATTATATTCTAGATTAGCCTCTCATGCCAAGACCCTGAGAACGTCCTACTATGTTCAAGCATTCTTCGTCCTTCTCATCTCGCGAAGATTTTTTACACGAGAGGGGCCCGTTCACTGCACTTCTCAAAGAGCATGCTGTGGCTTTTACATTGACTGTGTAGCGAAATGACAGAGGCAATCAGAAGAAAATCTGTATGTCTGTATGACTGAATTTATAATCAATTTGAAAATCATTGTCCAATGTTTTAATCTCTTAAAAGAAAGTTTTCGAATCCTCACCCTCATATCCACTCAACGATCATCGCAGTGACGCTACACTAAACTACTTTTATGTGGAAATGCTTTTAAACGACCATAAATACTATCTGACGACATCTTTCAGTGTAGTAAAAAAATTAGAAATCAAGAGAAAGGGTATTAGATCATAAGTTTCAAGCAGATTTTCATTTGCAACAGGTAGCCTTCTGCGCAGCACTTGAGAAAAAGCCCGAACTTTCAATTAATGGTTCTTCCCCACATCCTACAAGCTTCAAAGCATCTCTTCCCCTAATAAAAGAATAACTTATGAACCATTGTTCAAAATGATTTCTTTGGTTCTACGTAGATATAATTTTAAGCTGGCTACAGTGACGCACTTCGGGGTCATTCCTTGCTGTTTAACATCTTTTAACTTTTTATACCCCTAACCGAAGAGGTGAAAATATTCGCAACGTCCAGAAGCAAGTTTCAAAGACTCCATGAAGTAAGTAAATTTTTAATCAGCATCAAATTTTGAATCGATCCGCCTGTCTGTCTGTTCAACATCTGCTGGAACAAACTCATCGCGGCGAAACTGAAGCCGTCAACTTCAAATTTAGCAGAAGTTGTTGCACGCAGGTTGATATTGAAAATGGGGGAAATCGGCCGGAGGAATTTGAACATATGAGTGACGATGAAGTATCTGTACAACAAGGGGAGAACATTGTCATGCATACACAACCTTATTGTGTATCAAAATTGATTTTTTTTTCAATACCATTAGAAGCAAACTTCAGAAGCACCTCAGAAGCATACTTCAAAACCGTCATAAATTCCGTACCAGTTTCAAATTCGGAATTTACCGAAACATGTTGCTCTGTCCATCTGTCCATTTGCCCAACTGTACAGTATTTGTGATAAACATTCTGCCGCTTGTAAAACTGAAGATATTTTTTACAATTTTACATAAAAATTCGAAAATGACCAAATCAGTCGATGGACACGCCTACAATGCTCAAACGCGTAAGCAACAAAATTGTGAACATCTGTGGTTTCCGTTATTTTTGGTTGTCACTCATAAAGTGCAATACATGCATAGTATGAATTTCTTCATTTTTATTCTGTACGTAGAAACAGTCAGCCGCGCCAACCTAATATTACAGACTAAGAAAATTAAGCTCTTTTCGTTTGTTTACTCTCTTTTAGGACAGCGGTGATAGGTATAAAAGATACGATCATGAACGAATATAATTTTCTTGCTTGTTATCTTTCATATTTTTAATACAAAATCAATATCGTATCCCTTTTCAATCAATATAAATATTTTCCAGGAATTTCGTTCGACAATCGTCCATTCTTTATATTACATTTTTATACGTAACAGAAATTGCAAGAAGAACACATACTGTTTGTAGTGACCCTGATAAGAGACAAAGTGTGAAAGCAAATTTTTAACAAATAACATTTTTTCCTCATTCATCAGCTCCTTTGATGGTTGTTTCATTATCAGCAGTAGTGTTAACTCCTCATCAGCAAATCAGTAAAATGTGTAAACTAACAATTTGTGACAAAAAATCAAGCGTGTCCTGCTGGTTTTATACACAAACACATTTTTATCCGTTGTTGAAAACAATTTTTATTCTAGAAAACAAAAACTTTGAGACCAAAAATGAATGAAATTTTAATAATCTGCATTACGTGGGCGTGATCGTTTTTATTTTCATTTTTGTACAGGTATTGTAGCATCAGACATAGAACATACATGCCAGTGTTAATTGCTTTTTCTCCTCTTCTTTTTTATGGGTAATAAGACAAAATTTCAGTGCTCTCAATCTACATTGGTCTGCGGGCAGGTCGTTCGGCCAACTCATCTGAAATGTACGTTTTTTGATAGCTTTTTCAATTGCTCTCTTTGAAGAAAAGTATAATTGGAATTGTTTTAATGATTCTCAATACGAATGTGATTTTTTTTATCTATATGGCGAGTAAGTAGTATGCCTAATGAGTAAAGAGTTAAATGGTTAGGGCGAGTAGTATACCTAAGGACTAAAGAGTTAAAGGGTTAAGGCGACTAGTATACCTAATGAGTAAAAAGTTACATGGTTAAGGTGGGCACAACGCTTTTCAATTCGTTTATTCCATTTGTATAGTAATCTCTGTTTCAATATGGTGTGAAGGGCCACACGTTGTTTTCTCACTTTTAATATATACATATATATATTTATTTTAATATATATACATACATTTACATACATTTTTAATATTCATTTAATATTTATTTTTATAAATATTTTATGTATACGATATATAATATAAGTGTTGGCAGCAAAAGCCAGCTTACTCTTTTAAATACCTTTTAGTTAATTAAATTTATCATTATTATTATAATTTTAGACTAATGAAATAAATCCTTAGACTAAAAGAAAGAAGGCATCGAGCACTAGCAACACAGGCTATCGGCTCTAATTTATAAAAGTACATTAGCTATTGACTCTAGTAGTTTTAATAAAGTAATACATTGTATTGATATTCTGTTTTGTAGCTGATTTTATAATGTACATATGATTAGTCGCTTTATATGTAAAACCTTTAGCCAAGGAAAAGTTAAGTCAATCACAGAGAATGTGCTTTACAGTGAGAATTTGTCCACAATTGCAGATTGGGGAGGAAGACTTTTTCAAGATCCATTGGCGAGTTGCAATTGTGTGGCCAAGGCGAATTCTCGAAAAGGTTGGGATATTGATTTTCTCAACATTTGTTGGATATAAAGGTAGAATTAATTGAAAGTTAATAGAAGAGAAGTGCTGATGATGGTATTGTAATTTTCTTTCATAATTTTCTCTTTAACTTTTCTTCCAATGTATCTTTGAAGGTCCAATTTTTCCATGACATCATCCACAATTAGAGGTGCAGAAGCAGCTTACTTTGCCGCTCGATCAGCCTGCTCATTTCCCAATAAACCGATTTGACTTGGTACCCATAACATATTAATTTTTTCGCCGGGTGTTGTAATGATAATCCTTAATATGTTGATGATGCTCCATCTCGAAGTCGAAAAATTCCGTATAGGTTCTAATACAGACAAACTGTCAGTAACAATGACGGTTTGAGTTTGCCTTTATGGGAAAAGTTCGCAGCGTGAAGGATAACTCTGGCTTCTGTTATGAAAGTTGAAGTACTTTCGTGAAATATGTGATTGAGAAGAACCTGCCCTGATGCATTTGGCACGACACAAGCAGGTGGCAGACCAGAAGATTTTGAACCGTCTGTGTGTAAAAGATTGCAACCGTTACTCTCCAGTACTTGAGTTTTTTCAGCTACTAGTTTCCTGAAGACGTAGTTTGGAGTATCTTTTATTTTGTGCATAGACAGCGAAATGTCAAAAAAGTTGTCT